ACCTTTAATAACATAAAGTTACCTGATTTTTGAAGTGCAATCAGTAATACTTTTATAACAAATTTATATCAGTAATGATGACAGTCTTATTCAACCACCTTCAAATAAAGTGTTACCGAAATCCTCACTTAAGTCAGTTATGAAGAGTTTTTGTTTACATCTTCATGCTACAAAACTGCAGCTGTTGTGAAACAGACACAAATGTAAACAATCTTTATTTCTCTCAGAAATAAAAGCAGCCAGTCACAAAGCAGCTGCTTTCACTGGCTGCCTTCACAAAGCAGCTGCAGTCTGGGAGTGTGATTTATTTTCCTTGGCACTGATTGGCCGTACCACCAAGACCAGAGGCAAGCAAGTCTGTAGATGTTAGCTTCTGGAGTAGTGCAAAAGCGGTTTCCCTACTATTACAACAGGCAGACACAGTTTCAAATGATTTTAGGCAGCTTGCTTATTTTCTAAAAATATGTTCAGCTCCTCTTTGCTCCTTCGTGTTCGATGAGAGGAGCTTACCTCAATGTAGGAGTGCTCTCTGTCTGGTCTTGTGGAAGGAAATGACAAATCCAAAAAGTCCACCAGGTAGTCGTAGCCATTACTCATTGGTTTAAAGCTGTCATCTGTTTCAATCATCTAGATGAAAGGTTAACAGTGAAGATAAATAAAATGTCAGTTTCAAATATTTTAAGTCTGGTTATCAAAGGGATCAAGAGTAAAGGCATCATATCTCGCAACAAAAAATTAGAAAGTCAAGCAATCCAGCAGCCATGAAAAAAAAGAAACAATGATTGAGGAAGAGCCAAGAGTTTCTGTGACAGGTTTTGAAGAAGATTGGAGTTGAATCCTTCTGTTCAAATAATATTTACCCGCACCACCAGGTTGTAGTTTTGAAAGCCTGCCCAGCTGTAATAAAACTGGATCCAGCTCTCATGCTTAAATATCTCACTGCTGATGGCGCTGTTGAGCTCATCCACATACAAGTCAAACTCCCAGCTGTCCTTGTAGATTTTGGCATTGGCTGGAGGATCAGTAATGGCCTCACTGGAATTGATCACAGCAAAGGAAGCAGTGAAGGAAAACTTAAAACTACGAAGGCTTGAGATGTAGTGGTTTTAATCGGTCTTTTTCTCACTTGTCGACATTTCTCACTTCTCCCTTAACAGAAGCGGACAAAAAATAGTTTCAGAATGTGAAACTTCTCAGAAATACACAAGGACTATCTTAACTAAATACAAGGTTTCCCCTAAAAAACTTGCTAAGCCCGGTGATTGGGCTCTAGGGCAGACATTTATCCAGCATCCCGTCGTGTTTTTGAGTTGAATGTTTAAAGTTGACAGGAAATTTGAAAATATCACTTGATAATTATGTATCAAAATATTGGAAGATTAATACCTGAACACCAACTATAACGTCTTAAAAAATGCAAACATTTTAAAAAGACTTTACAAAAATAAGCAATGCTAAACCTGGTGGGGGGACAAGTAAAGCCTGGTGGCCCGCCAGGCTTATATTGCACTGGGAAACCCTGAAATGTGAAATCTGAAGGCGACTGGCTAAAAAATAAAGGTCGAATACAAATGTATGAACTGTACTTTTCAGATCTCAACTTCACGTGACTAATGTTGGACTCTACATGACGCCTCACGTGAAATACTTTAATCTGGCCTATTTGCAGATCGCAGCCTAACCTTTATGTACCATCTTAA